AAAAAAAAAAAAAAAAAAAAAAAAAGTGCTATAGTTGTGTCCAAATATGTGATGACATTTAACAAGAAATAACTTTAAATACATGTTCATAGGAGTGAACATGGCAGTCAATAAGCCTCATTTTTGCAGGGTGGGAGAAAACTAATGGTTTTAGTTGAAAGGTATTAATACATTTCCAGTGATTATTAGAGAAACTCTAAAAAAGCATGATGAGCTGGCAAAAAGCCCAAGTGCAAGAACAGCAAAGTAGGTCTACACTTCCAGAAAACTTCCTTTTCTTCATGCTTTGGAGAAAAAAACATCACTAATTAAAGGAAGGAAACTTAAAATACTGTAAGTGGTTATGAAAGAGTTCTTGCTATATACCTATTTTCTTTCTTATCAAAAAACCTAAAGTAATAGTTTCCAAATATCAATCTATGGACTGCCTGCTTCAGAATTATCTTGTTACAAATACAAATGACCAGAATCCATCTCTAAGCTACTGAATCTAACTCTTCAAATGTAAAATCCAGTAACCTGTGATTTCAAAAATAACAATGAAAAAATAATAATTTCAAACACTAATAATTTCAAAAACCTCCAATGTTTTTAATGCATGGTAAAGTTTGGGAACCACTGACCTCAAATAAAATGGAAGCTTTATAAGGCTGTGCCAATGCTGGATAAACAATTCCAAAGCCTACATACAGACACTGAATAAAAGATGGAGAAACAGGATGCTTCCGAAGAAGTGTGGAAATTCAGTATTTTGTCTCCCAAAAAACCCAAAACAACAAAAAAAAAACCCTTGTCTTTAGGTTCCAATAACAAGTGCCTATAGAGACATCACTCTTAGAGCAGCAGAGCCAGTCAAAGCTAGGTTAAATCTCTGAGGACTTTATAGAGCTAGTTAAATACTACAGCACACTTCCCTACTAAATTATAAACTGTTCATTCATTTAACAAATATTCATTGAGCACCTACTGTGCACAGGGAATTATTATAGGGCTTGGGATACAGTGAATAAATAAACAAAAATCCCCTTACAAAGCTTGAACTCCTTCACAGGGGACAGATAACAAATACAAATAAATAAACCTCCCCTCCAAATATAATATAGACTTGTTTTTATTTTATACAAATATATAGTTTTATATATATAAAACAGTTAATATAGAAAAATGAAGCAGGAAATTCATATACAGAGTTATAAGGGATGATTTTAATTTCAATAGGGTGATCAGGATAGGCCTCATGAGAACATGACATTTGAGTAAAGACCCAAAGGAGGTAAGTGTGTTGGGCATGGAAATACCTAGAGAAATATCATTCCAGGTAGAGGAACAGCAATGAGAGAGAAATTCATAAGGCAGGAGCATACTGACGGTTTGAGTATCTCGAGGAGATTATGTGGCTTTACAATAGTAAGTGACAAGCAAGTCCGCAGGAGATAAATTCAGAGAGATAACAGGGACCCATTATATAGGTCCTAGTAAGGCACAGTAAGGACAGAAGAGCACTAGAACAGCATGATTTGTCTTAAATTTTAAAAGCAAAGTTTTAGAACTGTGTTGAGAACAAACTTTAGGGAAGAGTTAGAGTAGAAGCAAGGAGATCCATTGTTGCAGTAATCCAAGTGAGACATGATGATGGCAGGGACCAGGGGATGAGAAGTGGTACAGTTTAGATTTATTTTGGAAGTAGAGATAACAGCATTTCTTGATAGACTGGAAGTGAGGTTTGAAAGAGGAGTCACCAGAGATGGAGTTAGATGGCTGCAGAGGAGCAAATTTTGAGGGGAAGATCCAGAGTTGTATTTTGGACATGGTGAATCTGAGCATTAGACAACCAAGTGGAGAAAGTCCAGTATGACTGGAATGATCATATCTTATATTCTTTGTGTACTCCCCATATCAAAGTAGCAAAGACTGGGCATACAATAAACAAGTAACATGCATACCGCCTGATTTAACTTAGCATATTCATAACAACAAGCATCTTTATAAAATAAAGGTGTAAGTAAAATTCCTATTATAAAATGTATTTGGTTTACATTAACATTTACTTCACACATTTCAGAGATGAAGAATTATCTCCTGTTCTTATTTCTTGGCAATGCTATAGCCCATCTCTTTCAAGCAAATTTCCTTAAGTTACACTTTTTTCTTAAAACAACCATACTATGATTGTTACTAAGCTACAAATACTATTGAATGAAACTGTAAGTAGATGGATACCTTGGCTGAACTGTAAACTCGTTAACAGCTTGTAGCCTTTCCTGCAAAGAATGAATCTCTGCCCCATAGTTTTCTTCAGTTTCTTTCAGTTGCTGCTGCAAAGAGGATACGAGGTTTTCTAATTCTTGAACTTGTCCTCCAAGTTGTTTAATTTTTTCAGTATCTTGCAGAGCAGATAACTTTCTTTTATGACAAACATCTGAGTTACATGAATGGAAGAAAATGCACATTTCAATACAAATTTCTTAGTGAAATACCACAATCACTGTTTTGAATATGCAGGGAATATTAATTCTTCTTTGAAAAATGTTTTTTAGTAGTAATAACTCAGGTATCAATTTAAACTCATTTAGACTGATGATAACAAGAAAACATGAATAGTGTAATTCAAGATCATTTCTTCTATCTTCATGGCTGCAGTATCCCTAAAACTACCAATTTTATGTCTTTAAATTGAAAATAATGTATAATCAGAGAACGTAAGAAGTGGGAAGACAAGAGTAGTCTAAATCTTTCATTTTAAGGATGAGAAAACTGAGACCAAAGAGGGTTACAGTGAAATGCCCAATGCACTAAGTTGTCTCAAATTTTAAAGTAAAAAATCAAATTACTGAACATTTGGTATAAAAACACCACATTACGGTATATAATCAAAATTTACCAGAGTCTTGAAAATTTGTCATCTGGGGATGGGTTGACAAAAAGTCTGTTTCCTCTTTTGGTAGGTTTTCTTCTGAAAATTCAAGTTTCACATCACCTGTCTGCTGTCCTTGAATCTATTGAAAATAACAGGAGACAAGCAGTGACATAAATACATGACCCAGGATTGTGAAAACTATATAAAAGCAACTTTACCTTTAAAATGTTTTTTCCAAAATCACCTAAAATTGTGACACTCTAATACAAATATTTTCCCTTCCAAGTTATTCCACGCTCTCTTTTGACACAGTGACTCACATCCCATTCCCTTCACAGCACTGATATTATATTAGTAAACATAATGTTCTTTCATAAACAGAAGGAATTTCATTTTACTATAAAAATAGGAGCTGCACAGAATTTGGTATAAAGTTCATAATAATTAAAGTATGACTTGATCTCTGAAATTTCAACTCATACACAGTAAATTTTATATTATCAATACTTAATAACATACCTGCTATTAATCTCTGGATATAACTCACATACAACCAGGTAACTGACAAATGTATGCTGTTCTTTATACAAAAGGAGGGAAAACAGCAAAAACAGATAAACCTCAGCTTATTTCCTTAATTATTAAAACTAGGCAGCAATATGTCAGATGTATTAATTTAGTCATTCCTCAAATATTTAATAATCGGTCTACTATGTGGCCAGTATTGTGACAAGGGAGAGTAAGAATATAAAAAGAGTAAAAAAAAAAAAAAAGGTGTATCTGCCCTCACAGAATTCATCAACTAATTGGGGAAGTAAAATTAAACAATTAGAGAAGCATTAAACTATAATGTTTGACTAAAGGGCAATAACAGAAGAAAGACTGATGTGGGTCTGAGTAATTATGCAGGAAGTCAAATTTTATTTGGGCCTCCATCATTTTGGGCAATGATTAGGAAAGTTTACATGGAAGAAAGAATAAGAGCATTTGTGAAAGAATGACCTGCTATAAGTAGTGAAGACAATGATCTTGAGGGATGGGGGAAATTGCGCTAGATAAATAAGACAGGTATAAAGAGCACCGTAAAAGCAAGGGATGAGTTTGGACTTGCTATACTAGATCAACAAAGGATACTGTAGAAGGAGGTGAGCAACAGGGTAAAAGCTATTTCCCATGAAAGCTATTTCAGTTGGTACTACTCTTATCACATCCTCTACCTCACTCCTACCCGCTGTGTACATTTCAACCAAGGATCTTGCCTCCTACTTCCTAGAGAAAATAAAGCCCATCAGGTAAATACTTCAGTTTACAGCTCAACCTTTCTATGATGTCACTTAATTCATTCAGCAAACATATAGTAAGCCTTTACCATGTGCTAAACAAAGCACTGTGCTAAGAAGAGGAAATGGAAATAAAGAGAAGACTTCCTGATTCTGAAGAATGGAACAGGAAAGAAAGGAAGGTAATCATGTGTTTAAAATAATGGAGAAAGGTAGGTGCAAAAAAATAAAAAGTACAGATATTAAGAGAATGGAGGGAGAAATTTCTAGTCTAGGAGAATAGGTAAAGAAGATGACACAAAGGGTAACCTGGGACAAAGTGAGAGGGTGGCATGGATATATATACACTACCAAATGTACTAGCTAGTGGGAAGCAGTTGCGTAGCACAGGGAGATCAGCTGGGTAATTTGTGACCACCTAGAGGGGTGGGATAGGAAGGGTGGTGGGAGGGAGATGCAAGAGGAAGGAGATATGGGGATATAGGTATATGTATAGCTGATTCACTTTGTTATAAAGCAGAAATTAACACACCATTGTAAAGCAATTATACTCCAATAAAGATGTTTTAAAAAAAAAGGTAACACAAAAGAAATAACAGTTGAACCAACTGGAACTATAAGTAGGAATACACTAAGCAAATCGGAGGGGGAAGGACAGTGTTAGACAGAAAAAACAGCATGCAAAAAAGCCCCAGGGGTCTGAAAGATATGGGTGTATTTTGGAAACTCTAAGTATTTTAATATGGCTAAAATGAGGAAGAGGATTAGTAGATGAGGCTAACAGGTTAAGCAGTGATGTACTGCCGACTGACTCATCCCAACCAACCTCTGGGATGCCTCTACAGTTATAGCCAACTTGCTGGGATAAAATGTGAAATTCACTTTTTTATCTATTGTGCAGAAAAGAGTTAACATAGAAGTTGTGAGATTTCTATCTCTTTAAAAAGGCCTGCTTACAAGTCTGCCCCTTGGCTGGCATCTGGAAACTTAGCTGGTAAATGGTTCTCTACACTAATATAAAAGTTTCCCTAAATTGTAAGAGAGTCTCATGTACAAGCAATATGGTTTATGCTGAACACATGCTTTCTTTCTGGAAGTCTGAATTTGGTATGTTCTGGCAGAGGATGCCTATTTGGCTGACACCTGATAGAAAAGAACTATGGTTTCCTAGGCTTCGGTGAGCTTCCTTAGTAGTCAAAACTTAGCACGTATCATCACAACTGCTAGAGGAATGAAGTGTGTCTTTCTGTGACTCCACTAGGAGAGAATTTTAGAAGTTTGTACCTATTTCCTCCAGACTTTGCCCCATGCTCCTTTTCAAACCTTTATGGGGCTGATTTTGCTTTGTATCCTTTTGCTGTAATAAATCTTAGCCTTGAGTACCACTATTAGGTTGAATCCTGGGAGTTCTTCTGGTGAACCACTGAACTGAGCAGTGGTCTTAGGGACCCTCAGCACACCCATACTCTGCCTTATTATACAGACATGTAAGGTGTAAGTTTCACTCATATAGGGAATGAAAAAAATAATGAGTTGTCTTGGTCTTGCTCCTCTCCCTTTACTTCCATATCAACTGACTACCAAATTCTTTAGGTTCTTCCTTAAAATATCTTACGAATCGTCCCTTCTTATTTCCTACCTCCCACTGCCACCAGATTAATCTCCCTAAAAGTTCAACTTCATGATGTCTAGACCATGATCACAAATCTCCAACAGCTTTTTTTTTTTTTTTTTTTGCGGTACGCGGGCCTCTCACTGTTGTGGCTTCTCCCGTTGCGGAGCACAGGCTCCAGACGCGCAGGCTCAGTGGCCATGGCTCATAGGCCTAGCCGCCCTGCGGCATGTGGGATCTTCCCGGGCCGGTGCATGAACCCGTGTCCCCTGCATTGGCAGGCGGACTCTCAACCACTGCGCCACCAGGGAAGCCCCTCCAACAGCTTTTGAATGTCCACAGAAGTGTCCCCTACCATTCAAAGTTTGGTACAGTCTAACCTCTCTAATCTTTTTTTTTTTTTTTTTTTGCGGTACGCGGGCCTCTCACTGTTGTGGCTTCTCCCGTTGCGGAGCACAGGCTTCAGACGCACAAGCTCAGCGGCCATGGCTCATAGGCCTAGCCGCCCCGTGGCATGTGGGATCTTCCCGGACCGGGGCATGAACCCGCGTCCCCTGCATCGGCAGGCGGACTCTCAACCACTGCACCACCAGGGAAGACTCTAACCTCTCCAATCTTAAAGTCCATTACTCTCTGAGCAATATGTCCCTAATATATCGCACTTACACCTCCAAGACTTTGATCATATCACCTCTTCCACCTGGAACGCTATTCCCCTTCCCCTTCCTTACGTAAACCTACACATCTTTCATGGTCCAATTCACGTCCCACTTCCTCCAAGAATTCTTCCTTAATTATTTGCACCTATACTCATCTACATATTTGCTTAATTCCAAAAGTACTTGGCTTTTATTTTATTTTTTATTTTTTTTGGCTGCACCTTGCAGCATGCGGACTGGAGTTCCCTGACCAGGGATCGAACTCATGCCCCTTGCAGTGGAAGCACGGAGTCTTAACACCACTGGACCGCCAGGGAAGTCCCAAAAGTACTTCACTTTTGAACACTAATTAAATGTTGCCTTGGATAACTATTTTATATACATATATATATACATATACACACATCATATTTCTTGAATTAGCCTATGAAGTCCATCAGTTTATCAATTCCTTCTGTCTAGTGACTATTTACACTGTATGCTGCTTTATTCCCAGTACACAGTACAACCTGCCATATAATTAGCAAATAAAAATTACTGGCTGAATAACTGAATGAGAACGAGGTATACATTTTTCATTTCTTTTGTACTCCCTTCAGAGTATATTTCAGTATGACGTGAGATCAGGAGTTAGGGGAGAGAACTGTCTAGGATGATGTGATCCTCAAGTTTCTGGTTGAATGTCACTCTTCAAAACTGAGAAGGGAGAGAAGCTGGTTTAAGGGGAAGAAATTAATAAATTCAATTTCAATGTTGATTGAGACATACATAAAGGATACTCGAGTAGAGATATCCAATTAGATATACGACTCTGTAGCTCAGGAGTAAGAACTGACTAGACACAGAGAACTGGAAGCCACGGAAGTGAATGAAGGCAGCATACAGCATAATTAGCAGATCAAGCACAGATTCTTGGTGACTATAAATGGGTGGGCAAAACCCACAATGAAGGCTTAAAAAGCCACAGAATTGAAGTCACAGAAGCTAAGGGAAGAAAATATTCTAAGAAAGTAGTTAATACTACAAAATAAAAAAATAACAGAATTAAAAAGAAAACTAGTTCAAGATAACACTGAGCATGTGTTTACACCTACAGTTGCACAGTAGAAGTTTGACTTTAATTCTAGGCTACAGAAGTATTCTTTTGGGTACCAAACAGTTTTTCTTGCTTTTCTTTCCTTCCTTATTGTTTCCCAATTGGGGGGGGGGGGATCCTTTTTATTTTTAATACTTTCCAACACTTAAAAAAGCAAAAGACCTCATATAAAATTGATAAACTGAAGGAATAAACAACACTGGGCCCTGTTCCTACGTGACAACAACATGTGAAGCTGAGCAGTCTCTGCCCCCTTTAGATGAGGTATGTTTTCTCCAGCTTTCACTTTTCCAGCTTTCACTTGGCCTTCTTCACTTACTTTATGACCTGAGCTCACGTAGGCATTTATGTTCATGATCTCTGACATATATCTCTCCTCCCTCCCCATGACTCAATTAAAATCATAATGAATCTTTAAAAGGTATAAATCCATAATAAACCAAAAAATAAAAGAGACTAAGAAAGATTTCAACAGAAAAGGGGTGGCAGAATACTGATTAAGCAGGGTGGAGGAAGCAGCTGCCTAAAGCACATGTGAAGGGAGCCACAGTGATAGCAGACAGTTAGCTTACCTAGTAGAACCCTAGAAAGGCCACAGGCTCAAAGAGAGATCAATGACAGGTAGAGATCAGAAAACAAATATATTGACCTTTAACTAACCACAGTATACCCCTTTCTGCTGATTCAGCCAGGAAGAAGCCTGGTAGCAGGTAAAAGTTTTTCTCAAAACAAACTGAAAGAAGTGTCTGGGGAGAACTAAGGAGGCAAGTGTGGGTGTTTGTGTTCCAGAGTAGCCTCCCACATTCTGGCACTGGGGAAGGGAGGTTTGTGTCTCACCCAAGGAAACTGTTCCCCACTCACTGTCCTGAAAGGGAAGAGGCAAAATGACAAACATCACTGTAGTGACTTGCTTACTGTAAGCCCTCCTACACTATTTAATAGTTTCAACTATGTACTGCCACAAGGAAAACCAACATATTTTTGAAAGAATACAAGGATGGAAGGTAAGAAAGCAGAAAGAAAATCTGATAATTAAGAATTCACTGGTAACTTTCACCAAAGAAAGTTAAGTGAAGTATAAATTTGGACCTTGTTTACAGTGGGTAGAAGAGAGAGCAAGACAGGAAGAGATGGGAAACTATGACTACAGTCTATTCATTCCTTCAAAGAATATGACAATGAAGTTGAAAGAAAACCACAAAGGGATATATTAGATTCAAGGAAGACAAGAGGAATATGCAAGGCGCAAGAAAGACAGAAATAAGAAAAACAGACAAAGAAGCTGAAAGCACAGAACAGAGGGAAGAAACAGGTTATCAATCTTAGAGGAGACAGAAGGTGTGTTAACAAAAGGACAGGAAATAAAATAACCTTGGTTATAAAAAGGGATAACTTCTTCTGAGACAGAAGGAAAACAGAGTATTTTCAGATTTAAAGAAATACATATGGTCTAGAGGTAGCACGATGAGATAATTTATAATTTATAACTGATAGCTCCCATACTCATAGAAAAATGAGAAATAAGGCCATCTGCAACGAAAAAAGGGGAGTAGAAATGGAATGTATGACTCGAGGGAAGTTATAACACTAGGTAGCATCCACTGAGGGGACTATGAGAGAATAAATGACAACATAAAAGAATCGTCAAGTGATCCTGAGGGTCCAGCTGCAGTCAGAGACCATGATTATGCAGTGTCACCAAACCACGTCACCATCTAATTTTCTTAGCAGGCCTCAGAAACCCAAGTATGAGTGAAGAAGAAGGGTTCTCAGAGGCAGGATAAGGGCAGCAGAAAAACAAGAAATCTAGACTACTAAAGGTACTGGTAAGAAAATGGTATGATGATTCTGAATAGGGTTCAATATCTAACTATGAATGGAAGGAGAAAGAAAACTAGTAATTGTAGAAAAATGTGGAATTAAAGAAGGGCTTTGAATCTATCCACCATCCACCTGTCCTCCTACATAGTTATCTGTAAGATACTGGGATAGGTTTATAGATTTTAGGAAAGGCTTGATAAGGTGGTGCTTTAATTGCACAGAAAGAGGAAGAGAGAGGGAAAGGAGAAAGGGGGTAAAATAGAATGGGAAAAAGAAGGAGGGGAAGAGAAAAAGGAAGAACTAATATACGTTATTTTTCTGATATAGTTAAAAAATTATATGATGCCATCTATACTCTCTTACTTAGTTTTCTATGTGCACATTTCTAAAACAACTGCTTGAAAGAAATTTTATATAACACACCATGTGAAACCAGCTATATTCTAAACAACTAATCACATTTTTCTCTAAAGCAGACTCACTGCTTTAAAAAATGTTATATGTAAAATTAAATGCAACCGTTTCACAAAGTTTACAGTTTGACATTTTATATACATTTTAACTTTATCATGACTTCAAAAACTCTCTAAAGGGGTAAAGAGTATTCAAATTGCAGAAATTCCTTCAGCTCACTGATACTATAAATATGTCACTTTTCCCTAATTTTCTTTTCATGTTCACTTATTTTAGAAATTCTTGGTTGATGAAATAGCTTACAAAATAGCAGGTAATACAAATAAATGCAAATATCATAATACATTTTCCATTTTACAGACCTTACTTAATCGTGACTGAAGTACCAAGAGTTTGTTGTATTCTTCTGTTACTTTGTTGAGAAGAGTTTGCACATTTTCCTGAAAATCTAAATGATAAACAATTATAATAATTTCACTCTACAATAAAAGTCTGCTTCTTTCAATAAGTATTATTCATCTATTCATAACTTCAGAAAATTGCCTGCTAGAAGTAAAATTCATAGATTTAGTAACCAACAATTAAAACCTCATTAATGTGGAACACCTGCTACAAAGATTAACCTGACAATTTCACATTAAAATACATTAATTTCTTTTGGCATTCATTAATTTGTACATATTTGTTCATTCTTCATACAAATGGACAGGGGTAGGAAACATTTTATCTGTGAAGGAATATCAAAAAAATTAATTGAGGTTATAATTTGTAAAAATGAACTAATATAGGATTCCTATTAAGAAAGGTAACTGAATGTCTTATTCTTTTTAAAAAAAATAAAACCCCGACAGACTTATTCAATAAAATACCACAACTTTTAAAGGTTTGGATCTATGGTATAAAATTAAGAATTATAGTGAGGAAAAGATGGAAGTAGAGGAACAGAGGATAAAGAGACAAGGAAACTTGTAGACAGCTTTGGTTCTCTTTATATCACAATCACTGCATTGTAAAACTAAAAATATACATTAAAGATTTAAGATTTCATGAACCTGAAAAAACAAGATGTTAAGATAACTCAAATTGGCTAAGTGATAAAATCATGAATTAACAGAGAAAGTTTATCAATTCATTTAAGAAAATTACTCTGTTCAATAATGTGGTAAAGCCTTTCTTACCTTGAACTTCATATTTATAACCTTGCAGTTCTAGCTCTTGACTTTCAGAAGTGTGAGCACCAGAAGTCTCTTTCTCTTTCTCTTCTACATTTACTTCACGTTTTAAAGCAGAAGTATAATGTTCACCAATGACACTGCAAAAAGTCTGTTGACAACAAAATTAGGTATTTTATGAAATTAAAATTTTGGTTTCTGCCACTAAAGATCATTAAACACTATTTTTCTATATGCAAAAGACAGTCAAAATGGCAGTCAAAATGGCACAGAAAAATCAGTAAGAAAACACTCTTCTGTATATCAAATCAATCTGCAAAAGAAATAACCAAGTCTAAATCTTTCTCTCTCTCCACATATAGAATGTGAAATTCTTCTTACACCAGGAAAATATTGATAGTCTTCATTATCTATAATATATATCAAATATATCTATCAAATTATAACTTTTTCCTTCTTCCTAATAATGAATATATCTTGTACTTTAATCTACCACTTTCTGGCTTGGATCCTATTCTCATGTTATCTCTGTAAGGTCAACTACCCTTGAAAAAAACACCAAAAGATGAGGACAGAAGTTCAAAAAGTAGTCTATAAATTCTATAGAAATTACAATATATGAAGTAGGAGATCACATTCATAGACTTTAACATAAGAGAATACTATTCTGTGGTTTATACATGGAAAAAAAAATATTTGACACATCATTCTGGTTTTTCTCCTGAGCAACAGACAATTTTATCATCACTTACAAATAACATATGCCGCATAATCATCTGATAAGCCCTCTAAATAAGTTTCACCTGTGCCCCTCATGCAACTGGAAATATCAACAACTTCTAGACTTAACCAATTTGTTTATTGTTGCTATTTCTTGAGATTTGCCTAAAAGTTAAACTATACTATTAATAATTGACTTTATTAAATTTTCAACACAGTCCCTAAGGTAGAATTTTATCATAAATTGATAAATTGATTCAGGTTGGTAGAAACCTGATCATCCAATTTACAGGTGAGGCAACAGACCCAGAAAGATGAAGTAACTAGTCCATAGTAACATCAATGATTACTGACAAAATCAGGTTTCACGATGAACTCCAGGGAACCTCTCCATTACAACAAGTTGATTCATATTTCAACTTCATATTTCAACTTTAGGGGTCAAGTAAAAACATTAATAGAAGAAAAGAAAATATAAAGTCAGCTTATAAATAAACTACTGTGACTTGGGCCCTCTTTCCATATTTACAGACTATCAACAATGGATATGAAAGGACAAACAATGCCTGAACCCTTCGGCAGAGGTGGAGGCTGAATGAATGTGGTTATTTCTGACTTTCTTTTGCTTTTTTGAATACGGTTTTTGAACTATTCTGTAGGTAATCAGAATCAGTAAGGGTGCTTTACCTTCCCAACTAATACCATCCTCCTCCCTCTTCGATTTACAAATACACAGGCTGGGATGGAGATCTGTGACAAGCCTAGGCATGTATTTTAAATTTTGAACTATTTCAAATATGCAGAAAAAATAGTCCATCTATTACCTAGCTGTAACAAATACTAATATTTTGTCATATTATATCCATATTTTTAAAAAGAAATTGAACATTACATACAGATTTGAAGATTTCTGAATTAAGTACTGCTTACCTACTTCATTCACCTGTCTCTCTGCCAAGAGGTGATTACTCTAACACGCATGTTTTTATACTTTTTCTTTTGAGATTTGCTGATATTAGTACACCTAGCAAACACTGCAATATGGTGTTCCATTGTACAGATATAACACAATTTGTTTATTCATTTGTAGATAAAAATCTGAGTTGTTTCTAATTTTTGACTTAATATAGACATTCTTGCAATGAACATATCTGGTTGAGCACAAATGTGAGCCTAAGTAGAAGTAAATGCCTGGGCTGTGCGATGTACATATCTTCAACAATATATCTTGACAATGAGCTTCTCAAGGTAGTACACTCCCACCAGCAGCGCTCCTATTTCACCTGATCTTCACAAATATAATTATACTTGGCATAATTAGTTTTTAGATTTGGCAATCTACAGTGTGAAATCTTATCTCACTAGTCTTGTGCAAGATCCCCAGGTAAGTCATCAAATCACTCAACCACCAAAGTGGGCAGGGGTAGGAGATAGACCTGCTTAAGGCTCTATTGGTCTGTTTTTTTTTAATTAGGCATACCTTTTGTGTAGTCTACTGCTGAGATAATTTACCTAGATTTCTTTTGTTTCAAACTGATTACCAGGAAAACATTTTCTTTTCTTTTTTTTTTTTTTTTTTGCAGTACGCGGGCCTCTCACTGTTGTGGCCTCTCCTGTTGCAGAGCACAGGCTCCGGACGCGCAGGCTCAGCAGCCATTGCTCACAGGCCTAGCCACTCCGCTGCATGAGGGATCTTCCCGGACCGGGGCACAAACCCGTGTCCCCTGCATTGGCAGGCGGACGCTCAACCACTGCGCCACCAGGGAAGCCCCAGGAAAACATTTAAATGCTCATTTTAAACTTAAAAACTCAGCAATATTTTCTAAATACAGTTCCGAGGTAAGATAGTAGGGAAAACTGACTCAGATGATTCTGCCTATCAAATCTGTAGTAACTTAAAATTTAGCATTTCTTGTCTGAAAGTAGTTTAAAAATATATATATCTTTATTGGAGTATAATTGCTTCACACTGTTGTGTTAGTTTCTGTTGTACAACAAAGTGAATCAGCTATAACGTATACATATATCCCCATATCCTCTCCCTCTTGAGCCTCCCTCCCACCCTCCCTTTCCCACCCCACTAGGCCATCACAAAGTACCGAGCTGATCTCCCTGTGCTATGCAGCAGCTTCCCACTAGCCCATCCATTTTACATTTGTAGTGTATGTATGTCAGTGCTACTCTCTCACTGTGTCCCAGCTTCCCCTTCCCCATGTCCTCAAGTCCATTCTCTACGTCTACGTCTTTATTCCTGCCCTGCCACTAAGTTCATCAGTAATGTTTTTTTAGATTCCATATATGTGTTAGCATACGGTATTTGTTTTTCTCTTTCTGACTTTCTTCACTCTGTATGACACTCTAAGTCCATCCACCTCATTACACATAACTCAATTTTGTTTCTTTTTATGGCTGGGTAATATTCCACTGTATATATGTGCCATATCTTCTTTATCCATTCATCTGTTGATGGACATTTAGGTTGCTTCCATGTCCTGGATATTGTAAATAGTGCTGCAATGAACACTGTGGTTCATGTATCTTTTTGAATTATGGTAAAAGTACTTTTTAACTAATACCTTACCTGTGTAAAATGAGAACATTCTTCAGACACTGCCCTGTGAAGTTTTCCAATGAGCATTTGTAAAGGTTTCACTTCATCACCTAACAGAACAGATATTGCATTAAAATGTTCAGTTTACATACTTAGAAACTATTTTCATATTAAATCTATGTCAACTGGAAGCCTCCTGGCAATAAGATTAGTTTTAAATTCTTTACTTCTTTCAATGTTATTTTGTGCTGCTCAGTGTTAACCATCTAAGATAATTTGTAGGATTTTCAATTTATATCCCACAAAATGGTACAAAGAAGTGACACAATTTTTTTTACTACAACCCAATACTAGAAATACATCATACAGCATAACCTATTACATATATACATCGATATAAAACTGAAACAAAAATTTCACAAATCAACATTTACTCCTTCTACATGCTATGCACACCAATGTGTTCTGTTCTACTTTATCACTGGACTGACTTCATCGCCCATTAACGGACCCATTAATTAACTTGTAGTCAGAAACACTACAGATTCTATCTGAAGAGGATACCAATGCAAACAATATATGCTTAAAATCTTATTCAACTGACAAAGAACTGCTGAAGTGAAAAAGTACAGTATTCTTATTTAAGCCACATTTTAAATTCTACTCTGTTCAACAAAACAATTCCAAATTTATGAACCACCTCACTCCCAAAGGCAGATCTGTCCAGAGCGGGGGCCTAAAGATACCTTGAACAGAGGAAGTTTAATTTGAGTAATTAAATAAGTATTAAAGGTAGAAGTTAACTACAACTAGTCTTCCATTTACGGTTCCTTAAATATTGCTCCTTACACAGTACCATCTTAGTCTTTGGCTCACTCTACAGTCTCCCAGGGCATCTCATTCTTGTCCTTGGCCTCAAATGATCTTTTGATTGACAAATCTTTATCTTGTGCCTAATCCTCCCTCTTAGGTTTCAGCTTTCTATTTTCAACTGCCTAATAGATACCTTTTTTAAAAATTTATTTGTGGGTTTTTTTAAAACATCTCTATTGGAGTATAATTGCTTTACAACGTTGTGTTAGTCTCTGCTGTACAACAAAGTGAATCAGCTATACGTATACATATATCCCCATATCTCCTCCCTCTTGCGTCTCCCTCCCACCCCTCTAGGTGGTCACAAAGCACCGAGCTGATCGCCCTGTGCCACGCGGCTGCTTCCCACTAGCTCTCTATTTTACATTTGGTAGTGTATATGTGTCCATGCCACTCTCTCACTTCATCCCAGCTTACCCTTACCTCTCCCCATGTCCTCAAGTCCATTCTCTACATCTGCGTCATTATTCCTGTCCTGCCCCTTAGATATCTCTTTTTCAAAGTAAACAGGTATTTTTAACTCAATGTTCCAAGCTTAATTTACTATTTTTTCCACAAATCTGGTCCTTATCCTCCTCATGACTGGAGTCGCCCTCAATCCAACTACTCAAGCTAGAAACTTAGGGATCATTCTCAACTCCTTCCCCTTTTACTGTTAATATTAACTGCAGACTACAGCCTACCTCTGTAACTCTTAAACTTTCCTTCCTTCTCCAATCCCCAATGACATTTTAGTTCAACATCTTAATGTTAACAGAATTACTGCGAAAGTTGCTTAACTGGTCTTCCCATCACTTATCACCTCCCCCAATTTGCCTCAATGCTGTCATCTTAAAAATCTTACGATGTTACCCCCACTACTGAAAATCCTGCAATAGGTCTTATCACCATTGGCATAAAGATTAAAAATACTTCACTTAGGGTATATGAAGCCTTTTCTTACCAAGCTCCTGCCAATCCTTCCATCTTTATCCCTCAGTACTTTTTCACACACCTTGAATTCTCAACTCTCCAAAATGGATGCAGTCTCTCATACCTCTACATTTAAAACTCAAGAGCTTTTGCTAAACCTCCCTACTCCTGCCTACTGCCTCACTCTTCCAGGAAGTACTAGACTTTTCTCCTCTCTCCTTCCATTCTTTCTGTTCATTCTTCTAGTATAGAAATTTTCCTATTGTTTTCTAAGAGTTTATTTTATATTGCTTTCCCACAGGATTGCTGACTCCTTGGGGAAAATAACTCGGTGATTTTTAGATTTCTCAAGCACTTAACGAGTATCCTATGATTATATGAACAAATGAGTCCAGGACTGGAATACCCAGTCATGTTCCTCTATGGGGTCTAAGTCAAGAACAGAATCATGGAGTGGTGGGCTCTAAGTGATACTTATTTGTTTCATAATACTTATAATTTTGTTAGAAATCATTTACCTGTTTCTTGTGTTTTTATATTCTGTAGCTCTAGCTGGTGTATTTTCTGAAGTTCCTTGATCTTATCCTCTTGAGCAGAAATAAGCTCCTGCTTAAGACTGCAAAGAGCTTTATCTTTTTCCTTTTTCATATATTCACGAACCTGATCCACATGAGTTGAATAAACCAGAGAGAGGCAAATACGTTGAGCTTCCATCTGTAGCCTTAAATCATTCTTAAAGTAAATTAATGTGTAGGTTAGAATATTTTTAAATGACAAATCAAGTAATTTAACTTTTTTTTTTGCATATACTGATTACAAGGGAGGAAATACATGAAATTATAGTTTAAAATTTCATGTAAGAGAAGTGACGTCTAATTTAATTTTTTTCTCACTTATTCTGTTGCACTGACCTACCTATTTTTTTCAAGGAAAATAGCACAATATTTTCATTACTTCAACTTCATAGTAAATTTTGATATTTGGTATAGCTAGGATGGCCTGATCTTTCCTTTTTGTTCAAAAATAACATTTCAAAACAAGTATAGAGAAATGCAAATAATAATGTAATAAACACTATGTACACACATCCAAAATTAACAAATACAATTATTTTATCTTTTTTTTTCATTTCTCTCCTCCCTACATATTTTTTTGGTTTAGAAAGAAAACATAGATAAAATTTAATCTACTATGTTCTCATTCCTCCTTCTCCAGAGGCCATCATTATCATAAATTTGGTCATAAATTTGCTGCAAGTACAGTTCATTTCTTATACTCTCACTTCTCAATCCATCTATAAACAATGCATTATATTTTGTTTTTAAGAATTTTAAGAATTTACATAAATGGTGCAAAAAATTTATTTTGCAAATTACTCTTCTCATTCAATATACTTCTAAGATCTATCCATGGAGATACAGATGAATTTAACTGTGGTATTATATATATGAATACAGCACAATTTGTCCATTTCCTTTTTGGAGATCAACTGGATTATTTCTAAATTTTTTGATATTTCAAAAAATGCTGCAATAAATTCATATACATATGCCCTTGTACAAATATGCTAGTGTTTCTATAGTGTAGTGGTTCTCAAACTTTAGCACACATCAAAATCACCTGGAGTGCTTATTAAAACAGATTGCTGGGCCCCTCTCCCAGAGTGTCTAGTTCAGGAGGTCTGGTGTGGGCCCCAGAATTTGAATTTTAACCTGTTTTCAAGTGATGCTGATGCTGCTGGTCAGGGACTACACTGAGTGCCACCTAGAAATGTAAATGCTGCATCACAGATTATGTATATTAACTGCATTAGATTTTAACACATTTTTATAATATAATTACACCAATTTACACTGATATTTAACAGTGTAGGTGAATACTCATCTCCCCACATTCTCATCACACTTTTTATTGTGAAACTTATTTTGCCAATCTGACAGGTATAAAATGCTATTTTATTGTTATATCAATTTATAATGTTGAAGTACCTTTTCATGTTTATGAGCCAATTAGTTTAGTCCCAAGAGTAGAAGTACTTTTGTGGCTTCAGCATTATTTCTAAGCATATTTAGATTGCTCTTAGGTGTTATTATGTAAGTTGTTGCTCAATTTCTTCCGTGAGCTTCCTTCCACAGACACACACCTCACTCCTCTCCCCATCACTAAGGGGGTTTGTCTTGGTAGTGATGAGTGGGGCAGGGACAGCTTATGGGTTTGCCTCTGTTTACTTTATGGAAGTTAATGTCAAGGAGATGGTATCTGAATGTCACTGAAAATGTCTTTAGTTAGAAAAAATAAAATTCTTACTGAGAAAATTAGACCATTTTGACGGCTTCAAATTTAGGTCCTCCCCCAGTAATGCTTTTTAAAAAAATTTAAATGATCTCTGGCATTTTTAGGAGTGATTACATTAAAACCAATTATGATTTTGAAAACTATTTCAGATATTTAACAAAGCATTAATAGTTATGCAGTTAGAACATCTTAACTCTATTTAGGTTATTAAAATGTAAAATATCCTTACATCTGATATAAGATCATAAATGTGAGTACATTTATTAGAAGTAAAAAGAAAAAACTTTCCAGTGGCTTCCTACTGTATACAGAATAAAATCTCAACTTCTTACACAGTCTGTAAGGCTCCACAAGTTCTGGTCTTTTGCTTCTTCAAACTCTTTTTCTTCCACTCTCCCTCAAACTCAACTAAATACGTCTTTATTCTGTTCCTCAAACTCATCTCTGTCATCACAATTGCTCTAATTTCCATGTGGTAGACTCCTCGCTGCCATTCAGATGGCAGCTCAGATGTTAATTCCTCCTAGACACCTTTCCTGACCACCCTATTTAATGCTGCCACCACCACTACCCACCATTCTCTATCACATTATCTGTTTTATTTTCTTTATAAAACATCACTTTTCTTAACTATTCTACTTGTTTCCTCATTTATTGCCTGCCTCCCTCACTAGAATATATGCTCTTTGAGAGCAGGAACCTTCTTTCTCTTGTTCACCACTATTCCTACCTGGCAAGAGACTCAATAAATACTTGTTATAGAAATGAGGAAACACATAAAGCACCATTATACAAGATGTCCAGTGGAATTTTCATGTCATTTCTATTTTCAGTATCCAGCAAATATAAATCGTCAGGAGTGAACCTAGTATTACTCATTATATGCACTGTTTAACTGTATTTAGAATTAATACATTTCCCCACCCCCCTCTTCAGGTAAAACAAGACTCTGAGAAAACGCTAGGATTTAAACCAAGATTTTTTTCTCAGGGAAATATAGTTTCATAACTACTGAACAACTATATGGAGCACTAAAAAGTCTGAGAGTTAATTTTCAGTTGTGGAACCTTGAAAATACCAATACAAAATGAGACTGAAACCAATCTTCGGGATTGCAACGCAATATTACAAAATAACTTTTCTAAAGCTCAGACTCTTGTTATTTAAACTCTTGCCTTTTCAAAGAAAATGTGTTCTATGTTCTATTTCCTGAGCAGATTAACTAAAAGAGCAGCAACAACATTTAAGGCAACAATGTTTAAGAATTAAAAAGATAAAAGAAATGATAAATGATAGGCTTAAGTGAGAATTACATTACAGGGTTTACTTTCATTCTCTTGTAAGGTTAATTTATGTTTTATGAAGATGAAAACTTTTAGTATGAAATGTACGCTGTAGCATATACATGTAAGTAAACATACCTGTTCTGATTTAAGTACACTGAGCTCCTGAGGCAAGTGATCAAAAAACCATTCTTGCTTGTTTTCTTTTCCAAGAGTCATATTTTCAAAAGGAATTTTATTTAACTCCATTATTTTTGATTCTTCACCAAAATCTTTACTTATTTTAGGAACACACCCTCCAGAATCCCTGCTTGTCAAAACTCCATCTTTTAAAGAGCTTAAATGGACGGCACACACGTTTACATCTTCTGTCCTATTATGGTTAATTATGATTTCTAGCTCTCTACATCTCAATAAAACTTGCTCTTTTTCTTGCTTTAAAGATTTAACTTCTTCCCTTAGAAAACTAATCTCGCTATGTTTCTGTTTTAATTGTTCAGAAAGATCAGACAGTCTCTCTGACAGTTCTAATTTTTCTCGCTTGGTTACCTCAAGCTTTTCCATAAGTTCTGTTGTATCTTTCTCAACAACCTCACCAATTTCCAATGGTTCTGCTGTAAAAGTTTTGTCATCATCAAAGACTGAACTTTTTATTTTCACTATAGTTGGGTTTATTCTTTGCAAATGATGAAGCTCTTCACTAAGTGCTTTAAGCTTACTTTTATATTCAACTTCTTGTTTATTTTTACTGTCTTCTAAATCTGTTTTTACCTTGAGAAGGCAAGCATAATCCTCCTGTAACTCTTGATAATTAACTTCAAAATTTTTTTCAGCAAATGAAAAAGTGTTCCTTTGCTTTTCAATCTCTTCAGTTAGCTGAATATATTGTTTTTTGAGGTTCTCATTTTCCTCTGTAAGTATTTCTATTTCTTTTTGCCAGCTACAGTCTTTGGATCTGTACTTAATGGAGTCTATGAAAATTAATCTTTCTTCTTGGTTAATAGGAGTATATATTTTCAACATGTCTTCAAGGGCCTTCTTTTCATCTTTAAGAATGCTATTCTCTGCTTCAAGTTGTACAAATTTTTCTTGAAGGTCATCCTCTTTTTCCTTCATTTGTTTCTCCAATAATTCAGTTTTAAGTTGTAATTCTTGAACTTCTTGTTCAAGTGTACCCTTTTCCTTTTCTTCTTGTCTGAGTATTTCAATTTCTTTTTGAAGTTCATTGATATGAAGGGTCATTTCTTCTGATTTTGAATTCACAAGGGATTGCTGTAAATCTTTCAGCTTTGAAATTTCCAAAATTAACTGGTTCTGCTTAGTTATCAAATTGTCTTTTTCAAACTGCATGGTTTCTATCTTTTGGCTCATTTCATTCTGTAAGCCATCTATCTGCTGTTTATAGTGAATGCCTAAGTTATCTTTAAGCTTTTCAATATTTATTTGATGTTCAATTTCCAAATCTTCCTTCAGTTTGGAAAGTTCTTCTTCATGACTAAACAGGAGCTGTGTCCTCAGCCTCTCTAGCTCAGCTTCTTGTGATTCAGCCATTCTGTCTAATACAGCATTTTTTTCTCTTTCTAACATTTCAAGCTTTATCTTATAATGTGTAACTTCTGCTTCATGTTTTAATTCTAGTTCCTTCCTGGATTCAGATGCAGAAATAATCTCCGCTTTCAAATCTTTCACTGTACTAAGGGACTTGTGTGCTTCATTGAGTTTACTTTCTTGTTCAGCTATAGTCTGTCTAGCCCTCTGAATTTGGTCCCTCGAAAAGCTCAATTCTTCAAAAAGGTCTTCAAGCTGTCTCTGTAGAACAGACTTTTCTCCTGAAATTATTCCTAGTTCTTCCTTGAGTTTTTCCTTTTGAGAGTTAGTATCTTGCAATTTTATATTCAGTTCATTTATTGCCATATTCATTAACTTTATTTGATCTTCATTAACTGTAATATTTGGACATGATCTTAAAGCATTCTCCATTTCTCCCTTATGTTGTGTTTTAAGTTCATCTATCTGTGACATGTGTTGTTTTATTAATTCTTGTTTCATCTGTACTATCTGCTGCCCATACATCTCATCCAGCTCTGCCCGGAGTTGTTCTAACTTTCTTTGTGTTTCTTGTTCCATTCTTTGTAGAATATCAGTTTCAAACTGACTATCTTTATGATTTTTCTTCTGAAGTTCTTCAACTGTCCCCATTAATTGTTTTATTTCCTCAGAACACTGTCTTTCCTTTTGCTTGGAATTAGTCACTTCTAATTTCATATTTTTTATCTCTTGGTTCTTTTGTACAACCTGTTCTTGTAATTCTTCCAGTAATTTATCAGCAGTTGTGACTTTATCCTTTAGCTCAAGAGTTTTTTTTTCTTCTTCTATTATTTTTGTATTTAATTCTTCAATGACTGCTTCCTTTTCCTGTATTTCTTTATTTGAGCTTTCTACTTTTTTATCCTGTTCCTTTATAAAGAAAAAATGAAAATATAAAAATGGCATTTTTAGTTCCTGGTTACTTATACCCCTTAACCCCATTACCAAAAGACTGACAGAAGACTGCTTTTTACATTATCCTACAAAAAGTAGCTGCTGAGCCTGCCCCTTAATTTTCCTTACATCAATGAGACACAGGACTTGTGTAGTCAACATTACCTATGAGCAGTGTTGGCCTTCTCGGTGGGAAGAAATTTTTCTTACATTGCTATGACTAAATTTTTTAGTTTAAAAATTCAGTGGGATTAAAATGTATCTAAACCATTATACGTTCTTCTTTCTTATTAACTGATTAACATTCTATGTATTTAGTATTTGCAATAGCTAGAGCACTACATACTCTTTACATTTCCAGAAGATAGTCCTAAAAATATATCAGAGTTACTCCCATATAGTATTTTAGTGACCTGAAGGTTTGGTGGGCAAGTGTTATGAAAAGAGTAAAACAACAAACACAGGTTCCTGTAAGTCAGCCTTAACTTCACTCCTGGGGCTAAATGAATTAAAAGTTCAGGGGTATGCCAAGCTTAAGTGGTTGAATCCAAGTGATATGCAAGACAATTATACCATTTATGGCATATCAATTTGATTCTAGATTTTTGGTGAGAACAGAAATTTGAAAGCAGGACAGATCCCCCCCCACACACACTTCTGATTTGGGACTCTATTTTGGAACTGTGGATAAATCAAAACCCAGAACATATGCCGAGGTATGTCCCTATGTCCCTAATCATTCACAGAAGTGTTAGAGCATAAGGGAGTCGAGTAGAAGCCCTGGAGACAAAGTTTTGTCTCTGTTACTTAGTTGCCTGAGTAGTTAAGGGCTGTAGTGACAAGGACCAAAAAAAAAGTAAAATCCACAGAACAGAACAGAATATATGTAAAGTAAATAAAATCACCTTCAGGAGACAAAAGTCCAAGGCCAAGAGGACTTAAAGGCACCTCAAATGAATGTATTAACATACCTAAAAAAAGGAATGATAGGGCCTAGGAAAAAAGAAAGCCTCAGAGAGAAATATTGGCAGTCCCCATTTAAGTACAGTTCAGAAAAGAGAATCAAGGTACCATGAGACTTTGAGAATTCTAATCCCTCTGGGAAAACCATACCAAATGTAGAAAGCAAGGTAGGGGTCTATTGTAAACAGAATTAAGAATTTCAGTCCAAAGGCACGACCATTCCTACTGTGAGATGGATATATGAGGTTATCACAGCCTAATGCCACTGAACATTTGATTCCTCTAACATCCCTTGATCTCATGCTCACTTGAGCAAAATCCTATCAGTTTTTGTCTTGGTATCACATATGCCATCAATGTCACCATACGTTACTAGCAAGTACTAAGCCTTCAGACTTTAATTTCTGGACTAAAATATGACATTTAAATCAGTTTAATCTCTTTAAATCTTGGTGTTTTCGCCTGTAAAATAAAGATGATATTATTTTCCCTATCTCACAGAATATGCTTGAATCTAAAATAAAATATATTAAGGTATTAATTCTCACTGTGTGACATACACACATAATATATTTAAATACTAGAAAAAAATCTGTAAGGCATTTGGAGTCTCCAAGAAAGTAAAATCAGTTCACGGCAGTTAACTTCAGTTAAACTGTTAATTAATTAGTCTTGAAAACGTTAATGCTGTTATACAATCTTTAATATTTATTTATATATCCTGGTTTTTCATGGGGGGGAACCCTCATAAAATAAAAAGTATCAATCCAAAACTGTCCAACACCTGATATTACTACAAACAACAATTCTTCATTCAATTATTAAATAGTACAAATTCATGGTTCACTTTTCTTACTACCATTTACTCCAAAGTACATGGTTTTAAACCACTTACATGGTGTTGCAAAAAAAAAGACAGCTCTATGGTTAAGGATACAATCCCTCTTTTTTTTGGAAACAGACCTGAGAGAGTAAGGAATAATATAGTTCCTGCCTGTGACGACTGTACCATGGGAAGTTCAGAGGACTAGGACAGTAAGAATGAACCTGGAACAGTTAATGCAGTTGCCTCAGAAACCAAGACAGTTCCAACTATCATCCTAATGCCCTAGTCCCTCAGTTGCTTTAATGGAACTACTACCCAGGGATTCATTCAAAGAGAAAAAAAGGAAAAAATATGTATGTAATGAAAAAGGGACCAATAACAAAAGTATTCTTGCTAACATTCAAATAAACAAAGGTTATTCCCCCTACGAAAATGAATTACTTGAATTTTAAATAATCTCAAATTATACTGCCTACTGAATACAATATAATAAGTACAATAAAACCCGACTGCCCAGGCTCTTCTAACCTAGGCCTAGACTGACTTTCTACTCTTACCTCCTGGAAAGACTCATTTCCAAAGACTATTGTTTTCTTATTAAACTATTTTTTGATGCCTATATACACTTCTAACATGTTTCAGCCTGGGTCTTTATGCATACTCCACCCTCTCTAAAATGTCCTCCCCATCTCATCAGTTCAGATTCATAATTTATTCACTTATTTACCAAATTAGTATTGAGTAGCTGCTATGTGCCATATATTACACCAATTAGGGAGAAAACAAAGTACAATTAAAAGGGGACTGTTCCAATATACAGACTTATCTCAAATATCACCTTCCAGCTAAAGCCTACCCTGAATCACTTCCCTTATGAAGCCAGACTTACTAAGAATTTTTAAAACACTTTTTAACCATACTTAGCCTTGTTTTGTGGTGTCTTGCATACATGCCTACTAAACCATGAGTTCCAGTGAAGAAAAAAGCACATTTAAACATCATTATCTCTTGCAAGAGCATGATGCAAAACAAGTGATCTGTAAACATCTACAAAATGATTTTTAAATTACCTTGGTTGTAAAGCATGTCCATTTCATAATTTCAGTATCTTAATATTGTACATTTCCTATTTTCCTTAGAGACAGTCTCTGGAATCATACTACCTAGATTTGAAATCTGGCTCTACCAATTTATTACCTGTATATCTGGGCAATATACTTCATCTTGCTTTGCTCTGATGTCCTCATCTGTAAAATGGGGGTGATAATGGTATCTCTACCTCATAAGGTTGGTGTGATGATTCAATGAGTTAGTATGTGTATGATGCTTTGAATATTGCCTGGTAGCAAGTAAACAAAAATAAATGCTACCTAATACTTTTATTATTATCCAAACAATAGTCTTGTTTTGACAATTTCTCAACATCTTGCAGAAGAACCTCCTAAGTTTATAAAAAATACTGTATTGTATGTATAGTCTGCATTCATTATTCAAAGATTTCATATCTGTGAATTTGCTTACTTGCTTAAATTTATATATAACCCTGAAATTAATACTCACAGTCATTTGCAAAAGTGCACAGAGTGGTAAAAATTTGAGTTGCTGGGACTTTCCTGGTGGCGCAGTGGTTAAGAATCCACCTGCCAATGCAGGGGACACAGCTTCAAGCCCTGGTCCGGAAGATCCCACATGCCGCAGAACAACTAAGCCGTGTGCCGTAATTACTGAGCCTGTGCTCTAGAGCCTGCGAGCCACAACTACTGAGCCCACGTACCACAACTACTGGAGCCCATGTGCCTAGAGCCCATGCTCCACATCAAGAGAAGCCACCGCAATGAGAAGCCCGCACACCACAACAAAGAGTAGCCCCTGCTCGCCACAAATAGAGAAAGCCCATGTGCAGCAACGAAGACCCAAAGCAGCCAAAAATAAATTAATTTTAAAAATTGAGTTTCATGGCACGCATGATTCCAACTGGCATCAAGCAAGGTGAGCACACTGCTTTTCTGTTTAAGCTCTCATATGGAGAGGACAAAGATGGAGACCATGAGAATGGAGATGGTAGGGGGTAGCAGAGCGTACTGCAAGAAATTCTGGCTCTGGGTCAGTCCAATAGGGTTGGAATCCCGATTCTGGCAACTACTTGGGGGGAAGGCACCCTTAGGCAAGTCAGTTAACACTTCTAACCCTCATTTCTCTTTTGAAAATTAAACAAAATATAATCTACCAGGATGTTTTCTTAGGATTTAATATTATAATCTATATGATATGCACAACAGTGTAAATCAAATATACTTCAATAAAATTAAAAAATAAAATATAGTGGAAAGAGCAAAAAAAAAATCTATATGATATGTATGTGTGTGTGCATGTTTGTATGTGTATATATATCCCCTGGGAGCACTGAATAAGTGTTCCAGGCAACTTTATAACACATAACTACCATGAATAAAGAGAATCTGTATTTTTTTCTAATTAAAATCCATGAAACTTCATTTTGCCATGAAAATATTTTCAGAATTTCATAACCATGGCTAAAATGAGTAGAAACATCTCTAGATGTAAAAGAAAAAAAGGATAGAAGTTCTGGTTGTAAATGTAGATTCTCCGGAGAACTCAATTTAACATAGGCTGATCACTTTCAAAGAACTCAGTAATGAGTATTATCCTTCCCCCCACCCCGAAATATTTATTTATTTATTTAGGCTGCGCCAAGTCTTAGTTGCGGCACTCGAGATCTTCGTTGCGGCATGTTTAGCTGCGGCATGTGGCCTCTCGGTTGCGGCATGCATGTGGGACCTAGATCAAATGTGGGCCGCCTGCATTGGGAGCGTGGATTCTTACCCACTGGACCACCAGGGAAGTCCCAATGAGTATAATCTTAAAACCTATTACTGGAAGACTCCCAACTGCTTTTGAAATAAATTATCTTACATGCTTAAAGAACTTTTCTTAATTATGAAACTTTCTGATTCATGTGTGTAACAAAAAGATAAACACTAGGATAAAAAACTTTAAAATTAATTGTAAAGCTGATGCACATTGGTTGACTTCCTTAAACATACCATTTCATATGCTTTAATTTTCTCTTGCAAGAAACTAATTTGCATTTTGAAGTGTTCTTTCTTTTTGTGATAATCTTCTAACAGATGGTCTTGTTCTTCCAGCTGTTGCTGATGAGTGAGGATCTGTTGTTTGGCTTGTAGTAAATCTGCAGCTGTGCTACTATGAGTGCTGTTTCTCAGAGTTTCACTAGCCTGTAACTTGAAAATAGAAAGAAACCCCGAAGTATTAAATTCTTAAGTGAGTACACTACGGAAGAGACATTCTTTGGGGGGTGTTACTCGGCTCATAGTTGCTCTCTGGGAACGGTACTGGATTCACAGGCTTGAGATCCTAGCAAACACGCTGCCATAGCTGATCAGATGAGTATGAGTACATTACCTAAGCTGATAAATTCCTCCCTTATCTAAAATTCTTTTCTGTTACTTGTCAACAGAAACCTTAATTAATACAATCAGATTGCTATGGCTCTAATTAAAGGTAAGTGGAATATATTCAGTCTAGTTACCATTTCAGAACCTAATTAAAATAAAATCATACCAGGGCTGACAAAGGTTGGATGTAACTACAGGTTACTTTCTGCAAAAATCCACCTTATCAGACTTATGAGATTTTAAAATACAGATGAGGAAGAAGTACAAAGAAAATAATAGCACAAAACCACTCAAGAAGTATGAATTAAATTCCTGGTTAACATAACAAGTATTTACTAGTTTTTTCAAAATAATACATAATAAGCAAATGGCTTTTAAATATTTATTTGTTCTGGAAAATATAAGAAAATTTTTTAAAATTCATTCCTAAAAATTTAATAAATTTTGTTCTATTAGTAATACTTACATGCTGAAATTGAATCTGTAATTTTTGACTCTGTTCTGTCAACTCTAAAAATTCTCTCATTGTCTCATCCTTTTCTCTTCTCGCTTGTTGTAAATTAGCAGTGAGTTGGGTTATGATGCCATCTCTCTGTTTAATGGCAGCTTCAAATTCTTGCAACTAAAACACATCAGTGAAAATTAAATGTGCTATATTTAATTATTTTAACAAAATTAAATATTAGTACAGCTAACTTCTTCAAAAATATGATATTCAAAATGCAATGGCAGAATTATCACAATCTGTAAGCATATTTGAAAGCTATTATCTTGCGGGAATTAGTTTTACTTCCAAATCAACTTTTACAAAACCATCTGAACTAGGGAACAAAATACATTAGGTTTGACTTATCCATATATCTACTTCTAGAAGGACAAGTGTCTTTATATTTAGGGATGCTCCAATGTTTGTAGGCATTACCATCATAGGCATGTTTAAGCCTTACTTGTTTCTAAAGAAGATGAAACTGAAATATATTCTGTCATCCTCATCAATGTCTTATTTCACCTTGTTTTCACAACTGACTGCCACAAACAACAGATGTTATTTTAACCACAAGAAGTTACTTACAAAGATTAGCTGACATTTTTAATGAGTTTAAGTCAATATATTGACTGATGTGGTATGCAACATAATTTTCTCTCAGGCTGCTTACAAAAACATCTATCCCTACTGAAGTGATGTCAGTCTAGCTATCTCATAAAGTTAAAAAAAAGATCTCATTATATTAGCCTTGTTAATGGACTAGTTTTAAGCGATGTTGTTTATGATATGTATAAGGACAAATATTATGAGGTGACTTGAAGTTACCATTTTAAAAAACCCATCTTTAAAGAATGTACCTATACTATCATTCAAATTTCCTATTTTTGTTTTGTAACAAACCAAAAGCCACATAAGGTAAACACACCTGCTTCAGTCCTTCAGTCCCACAGGTGGCCCTCATTTCTTCTAGTTCTCTGTTTAGCTCTTCAATCTCATGTTGTTTCCCAGCCAATTCATTTTCCATCATCTCTAGGTGGGTCTGATTGTACTGTGCTCCATGTTCAGAATAAGAATCATCAACACCAAATTCTTCTTCCTAAACCAATCCAGATTTTTAATAATTCAGTACTACCAACATTCCCTCAGGAAAAGGGATTCAAAATCTGAATCCTACAGCAAAGTCTAATTTTAAACATCACTCATCACCTGGGAGTTTACTGGCATGACAACCTACTTTGTTGCTAATGTGATATATATACCTCAAGAACAAAAACAAGATATCTACAAATTCAGTCACAATTGAGTTTTATAACAAAAGGTGGATAATTTTGTTTTGTTACACATTAAAAACATTTAGAAATCACACAATGAAAGAAGTACATACAGGGAAAAGCTTTGTTAGTAACCAAATGGTTTTAAATAGAATAAAACATTAGTATAATGAGTAGTTTTAAATACTGTACCCTTAATAAATTTGTAGGCTTTCCTGTTCTCGCCACAAAACTGCAACCATTTACCTGTATAAAAACAATTTCCTGAAATATTATGGTTTTAGAATTTTATTTAAAGCTAACAATTATATTTGTGCTAACTGTACTCATGCTTTTCCTATGCCTAAGGAAAATGCCTCATTGGCAAAAACAGATATAGTGATTAAATTTAAACATCTAAAAGACATTATGACCATTTCAAATGCCAAAGAATTCCTCATACATTTGAGCGCTTACCATGCAAAAGACACTGTGCTATACATTTTCATTTAATTAAGGTTCTAAGTAGTTTCTCTTTTGTCTTCAGAAGAATAACTATAAACCTCTAGTTACAAGATCCTCCTCTACAAAACACTGCCTTAAAATCATTTAAATAATTGTTTTTTGATTAAGCCCTATTCATTTTAAAGTAAAACTGTTTACTGATGTAAATCTATTGAAGGTTGGCAAGCAGGTGAAGAAGTAGGAGGAGATGTCAAGAGCTGAGGAAAACTCCTAAGAACTTTCCCCTGAGGGTACTATGATAGCCATGCCAACCCTGACAAATGTGGAGATTTTCCAGAATACAGATGTCTCTATCACAGACATTTTGTGGTAGGATGCAGGAGGTTGGCAGAATATGTCTCTGGGGTTGACCTGGTAGGAGATTAATTTCAGATCAATTCATCTACTCAATAATACCTTCCTTCCCCCTAACAGGAAACAAGTGAATTTCTTTCCTGTTTATGTTTAATTTCTCACAATTCTATGTTAACAGAATCCAAGATAATGAAGCTTTTACTGTTGAATTACACAGAATAGAATAACTTAGAATTAGGATTAGGTTGATATGGATCACACCACTTTAAAAAGTGAAGATCCTAATTAAGAGTTCTTTCCAGAGTTTGATTCCTTTTTTTCCCCAAGGATAATTTCAAAAAACAAAGCTTAAAGTTAAAAAAAATTTCACCTTTATGGCAACACACTATTAGAATTTGTGAAAACTATTAAAACACAGCAATACTAACTCTATTAAGATTATTAATAAAGTCACTTGCAATGACTTTCAAATTAAATTCTAAATTTCAATTAGCTTTTCTTGATTTTGAAATGAAGCACTTTGATAAACATCTACTAAACTTTTCCTTTAGGGTAACAGTATAATGAAATGGATTTTATGAATATTTTCAAATATCATATTAAGCAAAGGATATTCCTTTAAGTAGTGATGATATCACTTACACAAATTAGTTATCTATTTATAATAATTGAATCTAACACATTAAATAGCCAACATTCTGCTTAACTTTTCTCTAAGTTGAGCACATTTTACACTTGAGCAAGTCATATGTATTGGCTTCTTAAAATACTACATGACTGTTTTCAAAACTTAATTGTTATTATAATAGATATTAAAATCTTGTCAATATTAACAGTTCTTAAAAATTTAATATCATGTAAATAGGTAATAAAAGATTATACACCAGAACTAAACTATATTTCAAAGTTAGAAAAGAAACACTCAACAGAATATTAGGATCATTAATAGTTAGCAATAAAGGATTATATTTTTTAATCTAGATAATTACTTCACTGATACCTAACAGGTAGAGCATTTATCTCATCTTCTTACACTAGTGTTTTAACACAATACTTGGTAAACCATAATATGAAGGCACATTAACAGCTTGAAACATGAAGATTAGAAGAACAGACTCCTCCAACTGAAGAAACCTTAACTTTACTTAATATCGTTCTTTACTGTGGCATTTTTCAAAGTCATTTAACCTTTAGGCTATACTAATATAGTCTTTTTGAATTCATAATTTACTCAATCTGTGTAGACAACTTGAAGATTTGGGAAAGTACAAATAGAGTACATTCTAAATTTTAAAATGTTCTGCAGAGTAAGTATCATCTCCTAAAACTACTGCTATTCAGAAAGAATCAGACAAAAGATGACTCTTATTTTAAAATCATAAAATGTTCTTCACACAAAAACTTTTCCTTTCAGTGGACATCAGTTCAAAAACACAGAAGAACAACTCACTCTTTATTTATGATTAACACCTTATCCTTATTATACTTAATTTGGCAGTATGTACAAAAATATTAATAATGGATGTTTTAATAAAAAATAAGAAGAATCTAATAGTTTATAAAGTTCATAAAAATTATAGGAGTTCAGTGTGCCTAGCTGACTCCTGGAATTAGAGCCAAGAAACTAATGAAGCTAAGATCATTCATTCAAAGTCAAAGTTAAGTATCAAGCACCATGTTGTACACCTTCAATATATAAGCTGAGACAGGGAGGGAGAAAATGAAAATAAGGTGAAGTTAAAAAGAAGAAAGAAACCCAAGTTAAAGTTGAAAAGCTAAGTTTACGTTACTTAATGGCTGGCTATAGGCTATGTCTCCAACTCCAGCCAGTCACTTCATAAATGTCGTGAGTCCTGTATTAGATGGTCTGATCTGTAGCCACTTGGATTATAAAAAAAATTCACTTTGGTATAAAGAAAAAAAAATGCATTTGTGGAATCCTGGGCTGCCCAAAAGTCACCAGTAGTTCAAGTGCCAAACCATCTTAAACTTCAATCAAAAAAGACAAGCTCTAAGAATTAAGGTATTATGGAAGAGAAAAGCAATGTTTTCATATCTAAGCCCCAAATTTAAAGTCACAAGTGCAGATTCTCTGAATTGCACGCTGTAATTTTAAACTGAGATACTTCCCATAAAGGCAAATTTATGTAGCCTAAACTGGGAACTAATTTATTTATTTAACATTGGTTAATTATTTCCCTGACCAGATCACTAATAAGTATATTCCCAGCTTTTAAACACATTAAACTTTTGAAGTGTAAAAGTTTTCACTCCCATTAGCAATCCAAAACAGTAATAAGTTCATTTAAGTACATGAAGCTTTTTTTTCTTTCCTAATAGACACCTACAATAAAACAAAACTTATAGAATACACTGAATTGTTGAACCATTCAAAGTAAGAAAGTTTTCCATGTCCTCAAATACTGGACCAAAAAAAATGACAATCATATCTAAAAGAATAAAAAAAAGATAAAATGACATACATTTATTAACACATAAAGAAGGTATTTCCTAAAGTGTCCAATGCCCACGTTAGCTTTTACCACCTAAATTAAAAATCACTACTGCAACATTAATTTGAATAAATGAATTTATGTAATTAACTAGAATTCAAGCAGTTGTAAAAAGCATTACACAAAATAAAATACCCTATAATATGAAATGTTTACTGTGTTAAATATGGATACCTTATATCATGTATCCTAGAAACCCAATTTCAAACACTTTCCTAGAAACTAAAACAAGGCCTCAATCTAATTAAGGACCAACTTATTCAAACAGATTTAAGACTTTAGTTAATAATCTGAAAAAAAGATATGCCAGAAAAATATAAACTTCAGGTTTTCTAGGTCATTTACATTACATCATACTGTGCTATATTCTTATATTTATAAAAACATAAAGCATGTGAGTTGCAAGTAATAAAGTACTAATAATCAACAGTAATTTCAAAAATATATGAAATGTCAATCACAGTGTTACTTATCCTTACCTCTGAACTGTAATCATCTGCTGTGGTTGAAATTTCACTTTCCAGCTAAAAGAGAAAGTAAAAACTGATTATATTAAAGCCCTTCTACTGCGTCCCCTCTCCAAATATTGTACTTTATTAGCCCATTATTATTGGTAACTTATGATAGAAAACTCAAAAAATATTACTAAAAAACAGGCAAAAAATTATTAAATTCTTTAAAAATTCCACTCTGATTATGAATCACAATGGCTAAATAACCCATCTAAAATTTATCACTAGGCAGTTTTCTAAATATAAAAGTATCAAGAAGTACTTTCACACAGGGTCCTTTATACACTACGAATCATTTGTAAGACAAAAGCACCAAAAAAGATATCATTCCTCTAATTCTTACATCGCTTTTAAATAAAATAAAGTCTTAAATTGTTACTCCAAAAAGTTCAATTTCTTTAAAATGAAGAATCATCAAATTTTGGTGCTAGAAAAGTAGCAACAACTTGAAGAAAATTACCAACCTCTGTTGTTATTAACACTGTTGCAGCTTACAAAAAACTTTCAAAGACATTCTTGCTTCATCCTTACATCCCTGGGATTTGGGTATGAAGTGAGTGGCTTTTCTAAGCTTCCCTCAGCTTAGAAGTACTAGGAAGAGTCAAAGAGGAAACCTAAATTTTCACTGCTTTCACTGTTCACACGCTCATCAAATCTAAGAATCTAATTTTACAAGTGAGAAAAGAGACCCAGATATTTCATTTTTTCACTCAACAAATATGAATCATATATGAACCCAATATAGAAGCACCTACATAAAACAAATACTAATGGACATAAAGGGAGAAACTGATGGAAATATAATAATAATAGGAGACTTTAACACCCCTCTGACATCAATGGACAGATCTTCCAGACAGAAAATCAATAAAGCAACAGAGATCGTAAATGACACAACAGAACAGTTAGACTTAATTGATATTTTCAGGACATTACATCCCCCCAAAACAGACTATATTCTTTTCAAGCACACATGGAATATTCTCTGGGACAGACAACATACTAGGACACATGACAAGCCTAAACAAATTTAAAAGGATAGAAATTATTTCAAGCATCTTTTTTGATCACAACAGCATGAAAGTAGAAATCAACTGCAGAGAGAAAAATGAGGAAAAACGATTACAGGGAGACTAAACAACATGCTACTAAAAAACTAATGGCTCAACAATGAAATTTAAAAAAATACCTTGAGACAAATGACAATGAAAACACAACCATACAAAAGCTATGAAATGCAGCAAAAGCAGTCCTAAGAGGGAAGTTCAGAGTGACACAGGACTTGCTCAAAAAACAAGAAATTTCTCAAATCAACAACCTAACCTACCACCTAAAAGAATTAGAAGAAGAAGAAAAAGCAAAACCTAAAGTCAGCAGAAGGAAGGAAATAATAAAGATCAGAGAGGAAATAAATAAAACAGAAATTTAAAAAACAATAGAGGGCTTCCCTGGTGGCGCAGTGGTTGAGAGTCCGCCTGCCGATGCAGGGGATAAGGGTTCGTGCCCCGGTCCAGGAAGATCCCACATGCTGTGGAGCGGCTGGGCCCGTGGGCCATGGCTGCTGAGCCTGCGCGTCTGGAGCCTGTGCTCCGCAATGGGAGAGGCTACAACAGTGAGAGGCACGCATACCCCCCCCAAAAAATAAATAAAATAAAATAAAACAATAGAAATAATCACTAAAACCAAGAGCTGGTGTTTTGAAAGGAAAAAAAATCGACAAACCTCTGGCAGTGATCACCAAGAAGAAAAGAGGACCAAAATAAGAAATGAAAGAGGAGAAATAACAACTGATACCACAGAAATACAAAAAACCATTAAGAGAATACTATGAACAATTATGTGCCAACAAGCTGGACAACCTAGAAGAAATGGACCAGTTTCTAGAAACATACAGCCCACCAAAACTGAATCAAGAAGAAATAGAGAATTTGAACAGATTGATCACTAGAAGTGAAACAGAATCTGTAATTTTAAAAACTCCCTTCAAACAGAAGTCCAGAACTGGATGGCTTCACTGGGCGATTACTAAACATACAAAGAACTTATATCAATCCTGCTCAAATTCTTCCAAAAGACTAAAGGGGAGGGAAAACTCCCAAAGTCATTGTATGAAGCCACTATCACCTTGATACTCAAACCAGACAAAGATACCACAAAAAAAGAAAATTACAATACAATATTTTTGATTAATATAGATGTGAAAATCCTCTACAAAATATTAGCAAACCAAATCCACCAACACATTAAAAAGGATCATACGGGCTTCCCTGGTGGCGCAGTGGTTGAGAGTCTGCCTGCCGATGCAGGGGACACGGGTTCGTGCCCCAGTCCGGGAAGATCCCACATGCCGTGGAGCGGCTGGGCCCGTGAGCAATGGCCACTGAGCCTGTGCTCCGCAACAGGAAAGGTCACAACAGTGAGAGGCCCGCGTACCACAAGACAAACAAACAAACAAACAAACAAAAAAAGGATCATACATCATGATTAAGCTGGATTCATCTGAGGTTCACAAGGATGGTTCAACATATGCAAATCAATCAATGTGATACACCACATCAACAGAAGAAAAGACAAAAACCACGTGATCATCTCAATAGATGCAGAAAAAGCATTTGATAAAATTCAACATCCATCCTTTTTTTAAAATTTAAAAAATTTTTATTTTATATTGGAGTATAGTTGATTAACAATGTTTTGTTAGTTTCAGGTGTCCAGCAAAGTGATTCAGCTATACATACACATGTATCTATTCTTTTTCAAGTTCTTTTCCCATTTAGGTTATTATAGACTACAAAGCAGAATTTGCTGTGCTATACAGTAGGTCCTTGTTGGTTATCTTATTTTATTATCATTCCACTTTTGTGTTCATGTTATTGAATACAATTAAACATAATGTTTACATCTATAAAATTATCCTGTATATACACATAAAGAAACATTAAAAAATTCTAATAGGGTTATATATTTTAAATACAGCAGTGTGTACATGTTAATCTCAAACTCCCAATCTATCCCTCCCCCCACCCTTCCCCCTGGTAACCATAAATTCATTCTCTAAGTCTGTGAGTCTGTTTCTGTTTTGTAAATAAGTTCATCTGTATCATTTTTTTATATTCCACATATAAACAATATCATATGATATTTGTCTTTCTCTGTCTGACTTACTTCACTCTGTATGAAAGACTCTAGGTCCATCCATCATTCTTCTTAATGGCTGAGTAATATTCCATTGTATATATGTACCACATCTTCTTTATCCATTCAGCTGTCAATGGATATTTAGACTGTTTCCATGTCTTAGCTATTGTAAACAGCACTGCAATGAACACTGGGGTGCATGTATCCTTTTGAACCATGGTTTTCTCCAGATATATGCTCAGGAGTGGGGTTACTGGATCATATGTTAGCTCTATTTTTAGTTTTTTAAGGAACTTCCATACTGTTCTTCATAGTGGCTATACCAATTTATATTCCCAGCAGTACAGGAGGGTTCCCTTTTCTCCACACCCTCTCCAGCATTTATTGTTTGCAGACTTTGTAATGATGGCCATTCTGACTGGTGTGAGGTGGTATCTCATTGTAGTTTTGATTTGCATTTCTCTAATAATTAGCGATGTTGAGCATCTTTTCACGTGCCTCTTGGCCATCTGTATATCTTCTTTGGTGAAATGCCTATATAGGTCTTCTGCCCATTTTTTGATTGGGTTGTTTGTTTTTCTGATATTAAGCCATATAAGCTGTTTGTATGTTTTGGAGATTAATCCATTGTCTGTCACATCACTTGCAAATATTTTCTCCTATTCTGTGTGTTGTCTTTTCATTTTGTTTACGGTTTCCTTTGCTGTGCAAAAGCTTTTGGGTTTAATTAGGTGTTTTTTTTCTTTTTATTCCCATTACTCTAGGAGACAGATTGAAAAAGATATTGCTGCAATTTATGCCAAAGAGTGTTCTGCCTATATTTTCCTCTAAGAGTTTTATAGTATCCAGTCTTATGTTTAGGTCTCTAATTCATTGTGAGTTTATTTTTGTGAAATACCCATTCATGATAAAAACTCTTACTAAAGTTGGTATAGAGGGAACATATATCAACATAATAAAAGTTATTTATCACAAACTGACAGCCAACATAATACTCATATGATTACTATATGATCCAGCAATTCCACTCCTGGGCATGTATCTGGAGAAAACTCTAATTGGAAAAGATACATGCACCCCAATGTTCATAGCAGTACTATTTACAATAGCTAAGACACAGAAACAACCTAAGTGTCCATTGACAGATGAATGGATAAAGAAGATGTGATATATATATATATATATATAATGGAATATTGCTCAGCCATAAAAAAAGAAATAATGCCATTTGCAGCAACATGCATGGACTTAGAGATTATCATAGTAAGTGAAGTAAGTCAAACAGAGAAAGACAAACATCATATGATATAACTTACATGGGTAATCTAAAAAAAATGACACAAATGAACTTATTTACAAAACAGAAACAAACTCACAGATGTAGAAAACAAACTTATGGTTACCAAAGAGGAAAGGCAGGGAGTGATAAATTAGAACTTTCGGATTAGCAGATACAATCTACTATATATAAAATAGATAAACAACAAGATCCTACTGTATAGCACATGGAACTATATTCTATATCTTGTAATAAACCCTTGTAATAATGGAAAAGAATCTGAATAAGTACATATACATATATATGGATGCATATATATACATAAGTATATGTATATATACTTATAACTGAATCACTTTGCTGTACACCAGAAACTAACACAACATTGTAAATCAACTATATTTCAATTTAAAAATATTAAAAAAATTTTAAAAAGCTGATTCATGGGCCCCACCCAGACCTGCTGAATCAGAATCTACATTTTAAAAAAGATCCCACATGTGATTTGTATATACATGGAAGTCTGAGAAGTATTCCTCCAAAATGGGGAAAGATAATAAAGTACCTGTCCAATGAGCCCCCAAAAATTAACAGAAACAAAAAACAAAAAAAACCCAAACAAACAAACAAAAAAAGCAAAAACCGAAAAAAAACCAAACAGGAAGCATCACTGTCTCCTTTCTCATCTATACTTACGGGAATTTTATTCAGCACTCAAGATCAAGTTCCAGGGCTTCCCTGGTGGCGCAGTGGTTGAGAGTCTGCCTGCCGATGCAGGGGACACAGGTTCGAGCCCCAGTCCGGGAAGATCCCGCATGCCACGGAGCAACTGGGCCCGTGAGCCACAACTACTGAGCCTGCGCGTCTGGAGCCTGTGCTCCCCAAGAAGAGAGGCCACGATAGTGAGAGGCCCGCGTACCGCGATGAAGAGTGGCCCCCCCCGCTCGCCTCAACTAGAGAAAGCCCTCGCGCAGAAACGAAGACCCAACACAGCCAAAATAAATAAAGAAATTTAAAAAAAAAAAAAAAAAGGAAAATGAAAAACTGAAGAACTGTTTTAAAAAAAAAAAAAAAAAGGCAAATGACAAACTGAAGAACTGTTTTAAAAAAAAAAAAAAAAAGATCAAGTTCCAAGTCAACCTCCTCTCTGATGTAGTAATGATGCCAGGAACAGAAATAAGCTTACTCCTATTCTAAAATCCTGTAGCAGTGGTTCCTAACTTATGTGACCCTCTTTTAAATCTAAAACACTTTCATGGGACTTCCCAGGTGGTCCAGTGGTTAAGAAACCACCTGCCAATGCAGGGGACATCAGTTTGATCTCTGGTCTGGGAAGATACCACATGCCACGGGCAACTGAGCCCATGTGCCACAACTACTGAGCTTGCGCACCGCAACTACTGAAGCCGGTGTGCTCTAGAGCCTGTGTGCCGCAACTACTGAGCCCACACGCTGCAACTACTGAAGTGTGCACACTCTGGGGCGCGCGTGCCACAACTACTGAGCCTGCATGCTGCAACTACTGAAGCCCCTGCGCCTAGAGCCTGTGCTCAGCAACAAGAGAAGCCACCGCAATGAGAAGCCTGTGCACTGCAACGAAGAGTAGCCCCCACTCGCCACAACTAGAGAAAGGCTGTGCGCAGCAATGAAGACCCAATGCGGCCAAAAAACAAAAAAAACCACTTTCATGATGCAAGTCCTTATGGTTCGCTCACTTATTTATTCTTTTAAATGGCTATTGATTAAATGCATATTGTGTACTAAGAACTGTGCTACTGAGGATAAAATGGTGAACAAGACACTCTGCACTTGAAATGCTAAAATTCCAGTGAAAGCCCAAGTATTGATTTGTTAGGCAGAAAATGAAAATAAAAACATCTTCAAATCAAATCAAGCACCATGGTTACTATATTGTATTATACAAAAGATCCAGATTTCAACAAAAAATTACAAATACAGGGCTTCCCTGGTGGCACAGTGGTTAAGAATCCACCTGCCAATGCAGGGGACATGGGTTCAAGCCCTGGTCCAGGAAGATCCCAAATGCTGTGGAGCAACTAAGCCCATGTGCCACAACTACTGAGCCTGCACTCTAGAGCCCACACGCCACAACTACTGAAGCACATGTGCCTAAAGCATGTGCTACGCAACAAAAGAAGCCACCGCAATGAGAAGACTGCACACCGCAATGAAGAGTAGCCTGTTCTTTGCAACTAGAGAAAGCCCACTTGCAGCAAAGAAGACCAATGTAGCCAAAAATAAATAAATAAATTTAAAAAAAAATTACAAATACACAAAGAAAAAAGAAAGTATGGCCCATACACAAGAAAATCAGTAGTCAGTAGAAACTGTCCCTGAGGAAGCACAGATATTGGACTTAATAGGCAAAGATTTTAAATTAGCTATTTTTTAAAAAGTAAAATAAATGAAGGAAATAATGTCTAAAAAACTAAAGAAAATTATAAGAACAATGCCTTGCCAAATAGGGAATATAAAAAAGGAAAGAATTTATAAAAGAACCAAAGAGAAATTCTGGAGTTAAAAGTAAAGTAACTGAAATGTAAAATTCACTAGAGGGGCTTAACAGGAGATCTGAGGAGGAAGAAGAATCAGAGCAAACTTCAGTATAGTTCAACTGAAATTATCCAGTCTGAGAAAAAGAAAAAAGAATTTAAAAAAATGAACAGATCATCAAAGACCTGTGCAACAAACATACTAACATATGAATAAGGGAGACTCAGAAGGAGAGGAAAGGGTCAGAAAGAATATTCAAAGATATAATGGCTGAAAACTTCCCAAAGTTGATGAAAAACATTAATCTATGTATCTAAAATGTTCAAAAAACTCTAAGAAGGAAAAACTCAGATCCACTTTTATGATGAATAGCAAATCTCTATGACATTTCTGACTCTTGACTAAAGCTCAAATCCCTGTATATCTAAATTCTATTTCCACCTAAATATGCCAGGGCACAATCCAAATGGATCATTTTTTGCCTTGTACAACACTCTTCCTCCTAAGCATCCCATTGTTCTCTACTCCTGGTCTTAGCTGGTAGCTCCACCATCCCACCCACCACCCAATCCACTCTTAACTTCTCCCTCATCTGCTTATTCTTGAAAATTCCATCATTAATAGGAGGAAGAAAATTAGCAATTATTGAGAAAAACTTTCTATGGGCCAGGTACAGCCTCCCTCTGTTCACCATTACCACCATCCTATCCTGATCACTTTGAGATCCATTTAAAACTAAACTACTTAAGGTTTCCAAATCACATCACACTGTTTCATGTCTTTGAGAATGCTGATTCTTTAGCATGGAGGTTGTCTGCCCTACTTCTTTGCCTCTAGCTAACTCTAACTTACACCTCCAGACTTGGTTCTCTTCCTGGAAACTTTCCCAAACAACACACACAAGACTGATTTGGGCATTCCCCCAAATCATGGTACTTTAGGGCACCATGTGCATTGTTGCTAGCATGGCTCTAATCAAGGTACACAGCCTAGCTTACAACCACCTCCCCCACTAGACTGACTTTCAAGGATAGAGACTGTCATATTTATCTTTGTATCCTTGGTGCTCAATCTTTGGTGTAATACAGCTGCTCAGTAAGTGTTTGTTAAATCAAGCTCACAAAAATCACATAGGGTGCTAATGAGTGTTGTCATTACAACAACTTTACACTTAGAATGCTAGTATTTAAAAATCTGGATGAATACTTACTTCAACAGAGAAGACCTGGTCATGTTTAACTATTTCTCCACTGTGTAGAGTTCTCATTATTGTGGATTCAGGAGTCACAGCTGATCCTAATCTCTGAGAACTATTTGTGCACATCTCATCACTCTGTGATTGCTCAATATTCACAGCATGGTATGCTGACATGTCATGTTTACTACTTGAAGTTTTCCTCTTTTTTTTCTGCTTCTTAGGATTCTGCCCATCAGATTGAGCTTTCCTTTGTCGAAACTGGGCAAGCTACAGAAAAAAAAAATCGTTATTGTCAAAGATAATTTTTCTTTATCAGCACTAAGAAAAAAGTAGATTTGGAGTCAAAAGATCAACCCATCACTAAAATGATGACAAAATAATGGACAATGGTTACTGTGTTTAACACAAAAATGACTAATGAATTGCAAAGAAAGTAGGTATTTCTGAATGAATGCTGTTCAAATGTTGAGAAGAACCGAAAATATCATGTCTAAAGAAAATATCATGTCTATTCTACCCCAGAGTTGGGTAGAATAAAAAACAGGCATTCTCATTCACTGTTTAGATAGAGTATAATCTCTGGATATGAAATTATATGAAAACATAGGAGCTCTAAATGCATTTGCTTTGTGGAATTTCTACGACTTCCACTTATGCATATTAGTAAATGTAATTATTTCACACAAAAAGCTTTAGCTATACAAATGATCATTGCAGACTTGTTTATAATGGGAAAAATTATAAATATTTTCAGTATCAAACAGTAAAGCCTCCTAGCCTTTAATCATTTGCATACCATCATCAGGATTTCTGCCATATCCTAGTGTCACCTAAACTTACCAGTTACTTAATATGTTTTAACTACTGTACTTTTCTTATTTAAATTTATTTTAAAAGGATACTTTCAGACTTCCCTGGTGGCGCAGTGGTTGAGAGTCTGCCTGCCGATGCAGGAGACACGGGTTCGTGCCCCGGTCCGGGAAGATCCCACATGCCGCGGAGCGGCTGGGCCCGTGAACCATGGCCGCTGAGCCTGCGCGTCCGGAGCCTGTGCTCCGCAACGGGAGAGGCCACAACAGTGAGAGGCCCACATACCGCAAAAAAAAAAAAAAAAAGGATACTTTCTATCCTTGACATAAATTAAAAGTATCACTTGTCATTTTTTAAAAAATAAAAAAAATGAATACAGTGAAAAATAAAACTGTATTATTAAAATTTTAGCTAGATATATTGCTGATGGTTCTAAGAGAAACAGGCAAGTGTTAGAGGGGTGCTAAGGATCTGTAAGTATCAGACTTTTGGCTTATAAGAAACCTGGTTAAAGAAACCTGGAAAAGTAGTAACTTTTTTAAAATTTACAATACTATCCACTGTTATTTAATATTGGATCAGGATATCACCTAAAATATCTCATCACTACCTGTATCAGAAGTATGGATAACATATTTTGGGCAACAATAGATTAATTCAATTTAAATAATACTAATGCAAACCATTATTAATATTAAAAATATTAATGTAAACCATTATTAATAGTAAATGTTTATACACAACATTAGGTATAATATTGCAATATAACCTGTTTTTTTTTTTTTTTTCCCCAGTACGCAGGCCCCTCACTGTTGTGGCCTCTCCCGCTGCGGAGCACAGGCTCCGGACGCGCAGGCTCAGCGGCCATGGCTCACGGGCCTAGCTGCTCCGTGGCATATGGGATCTTCCCGGACCGGGGCACGAACCCGTGTCTCCTGCATCGGCAGGCGGACTCTCAACCACTGCACCACCAGGGAAGCCCCCTGCAATATAACCTTTTTTAGTAAAAGGAAAATTAAGTGCATCTCTTTTAACAAAGATAAGGCAGGCCTCAGGCTCACAGCCTTCAAGAATTATACCTATCTTAAATTTTAATAACATTATACACAGAGGCATGGATAAATTCTGGAAGAATATAACCATAACAACTTTGGTCTGTCTCTGGATTTGGGATTACAGGTATTTTTCGTTATGCTCACTTGAAATTTCCTTTTTGGTGCATAAATTTTCCAAATTTTATATGAAGCAACTATTAACTATCAATTCCTAAATTTAATTTGAACTCAGTCATTCTGAGAGAAACAAAAGCATAAAAACAGGTGTAAGCCCTTTGTGCCTTAAAAAGAGGAAACAGAGGAAACATACAAACATATCAATATATAAATTAGACCAATTACAAAGATGGCCAGTAAATGTCTTATGATATAAAGGATTAAAGCAATCTTGATGATGTTGATATCATTAACTATCAAAATATGTGACAAATACTAGAATCTATAGAATAACATACAGCATATGTTATACTTTTGTCTGCTGTAAATGAAGAAAAGTTTATAGATATGTATTATTTACTTAACAAATGTGTCTAGTTAATAAGTCAGAAATATCTGATCACTGACCTTGCAATATAAAAATATATCACATTTAAATTTCTTCCCCAGTTCATCAGCAACTAGTCAGTTATTCTACTATCTGCTTAAGGAACAGATGCAAGACCAGTTGCCTCTATTTGTACATTATTAAGCTGCTGGAATGCATTTAAACTACTTTGGAGAGCAAATTCATTCTTAAAAATAAACCAACTGAAACACGTTATATATTATCTGTAAATAGAGTCAAAAGTCTAGGGACATTTTAAAACGATCCCTCAGAAAGAATGCAAAAGCAAAAAAATGCTAATTACATTCTTAAGATTTAAAAAGTATATTCAGACAGCAGAGGATATCAGGGCAATGATGAAGATTTTGTTTAAAATTCCAACTCTGTTAGGATATATAATTTATATTTAATATTTATTTATATGTACAAATACATAACAAAAGAGAAAACTAAAATCCTGTACTATAAAAAGACTGATTAAAAAAAAAACCAGGGCTTCCCTGGTGGCGCGGTGGTTGAGAGTCCGCCTGCCGATGCAGGGGACGCAGGTTCGTGCCCGGGTCCGGGAAGATCCCACATGCCGTGGAGCGGCTGGGCCCATGAGCCATGGCCGCTGAGCCTGCGCGTCCGGAGCCTGTGCTCCGCGAGGGGAGAGGCCACAACAGTGAGAGGCCCGCATACCACACACACAAAAAAAAACCCCCCAAAAACCCGCTGCCTTAGACAACAGTATCCATTATTAAATGAACCCAATGAAAACGTTAATAATAGATATGGAATAAAAAGTAGAATAGAGGGGCTTCCCTGGTGGCGCAGTGGTTGAGAGTCCGCCTGCCAATGCAGGGGACACGGGTTCGTGCCCCGGTCTGGGAAGATCCCACATGCCGCGGAGCGGCTGGGCCCGTGAGCCATGGCCGCTGAGCCTGCGAGTCCAGAGCCTGCGTGTCCGGAGCCTGTGCTCCACAACGGGAGAGGCCCCAACAGTGAGAGGCCTGCATACCGCAAAAAAAAAAAAAAAGTAGAATAGGGGCTTCCTTGGTGGCACAGTGGTTAAGAAACCGACTGACAATGGAGGGGACAAGGGTTCGAGCCCCGGTCCTGGAAGATCCCACATGCCGTAAAGCACCTAAGCCCATGCGCCACAACTACTAAGCCTGCGCTCTAGAGCCCACGAGCCACAACTATGAAGCCTGTGTGCCAGAACTACTGAAGCCCGCAGGCCTAGAGCCTGTGCTCTGCAACAAGAGAAGGCACTACGATGAGAAGGCCACACACCACAGTGAAGAGTAGCCCCTGCTCACTGCAACTAGAGAAAGCCCGCGTGCAGCAAAGACCCAACGCAGCTATAAAAAAAAAAAAAAAAAAAAAAGGAGAAGAGTTCTATTACAGTGTTTAGAACTAATCAATTCTAAGGACATAAAATTACCAAGACAATGTTTCAGGCCTATGTTATTGATTACATGAAGTCATATTATTTTTTTCAGAACAATTAACCAGAAGGTAAACTCCATGAATGTAGGAACTTTTGTTCACTGCTATATATTCAAAATCTAGAACAGTACTCAACAAATACATGATGAGTGAAAAAAAGATAACATACCTTTTATAGAAAAGTTAACATTAAGCAATAATTTTAAGCACTGTTCCACAGAACCTAAGAACTAAGATGATAAACTGGCATATCTAATTCCACTATCTAAAAAAGTTCCATGGTCTCAGAATTCAAAGTGGCAATTAAATGAATTAAAACATAAAATATTCCCTCTCACCATAATCTCTCTACCCCACTAGGCAAAACAAATAAACAGAAAAACTAAACAAAGGACAAAATTAAATTCTCAGAAAAACAAAAATAATAGCTTTTTAGGAAGAGTTCTGTTTTGTAAAAACATGAGAAAAGGAACAAGATCACATCATAAATCACATCATAAATAGCTATCTATTTTTATTTTAAATCTGAAAAATGGCAAGCTGGCAGATAAGCAAAAACCAGAAACTCTATTCAATTAGCTAATCATTTGATACTGCAATGGTACACTTTAAATTACTGGAAAAACATTTATTCTAAAACATGCTGGAAATTCAGACTACAGACATCTGTGTTTGTCATTTGGAAGCCAATTATAAAAATGTTAACATATGCAGGCACGGAAATAGCTGCAAGATTTACTGGAAAGATATGTCTATATACACTTGTCTTTCAAAACTAATTCAGATCTCAAGCAAATGTCTTACCCTGACCAGAACAAGAATAATTAAATAAAAATGACTAATAATTTATTTCATAAACTCAATATTTATTTATAAATGATCATTCTCAATAAAACAAGGAATTTTTTTAATGCTGTAAAAAAAAAAAGCCAAGTTTTTATAGTGTCACTTCAATAAAAGTACTAACTGGAATCTGTTTTGTTTCTTGAGAGTTCATCAGGTGTTTATCTGCCAGGCACAAAGCTAGACATGAGTCGAAATACACTGTCTTAACAGTAGGATCTTTTAGTCTAGGCCAGCCGATTATTTCATTGAGTTGTGAGAAACAAGGTAAAAGTTAGTGTACAATTTTGTAAACTCAACAGTCTTATGTATCTTTAAGGAGGTAGTACGGAAACTTCTCTTGTCCTGATTTTCTCAAAAAAGGCTTTCTGTAAGAGGTGTGGTTGCAGAGTTTTACAGCTGTGAAGGAAATAACTTGGCATATGACAGACAGTAGTGAGTAGTTCATTTATTTAAAAAATATTTATTGTGTTTATGGAATAAATTATCATGTGTTTGCCCTGTGCAGGGTAGGTAGTAATGAAACAGATACAAACCCTACTCCTCTGAATTGTAATCCAGGTAGGAAGAAAAAAATTAAACAA